AAAAAAAAAAAAAAAGGAATTCCATCTCCTATATCATACAGAAAAAGTTATGAATACAAATGGTGGCAAACATTATTCCCATAATTTGGGAACATAGAGGAGTATAACTGCTAATTATTATTAGCTTTCTAGAAGGTAAATGTGTATTAATTCTGATAACACTTCTAACACCTTAAAATGGGATACAAAAAACAAAAAAGTGTAGCTTTGCATAGTTGACAAGGCCGAGACATGAAAAAGGTATGTTTAGTTATGTCCATTCAAGGACTAGCTCCATTTAAAAAACAAAAACTGTAGTTTGTCAATGCCAAATCCCAACCTAAACAAAATGTTCCAACATTATCAACAAGTAGGGAACTGTTATCACATACAATTATGAGAAAATTTTTAACATGATATTAAATTATTCATTTATAAAACCAAAAAGTGGATATTAACAGAACACATTTTAAAGATACTATCTGTACTGTGAGAAAAAAAAAATTAACAGACGGGAGAAGGCTATCAAATTTTAAATTTTGATCATCAAATATAATCAATACATTCCATTTGAAACTAAGTGATAGGTGAAATACCTGAAGGTCCAGCATGACTTTAACCAACTTGCTACAATAGGAGGGTGGCAAACTGCAGCGCTTATGCAAGATTGTCTCCAGCTCAGAACTAGGCAGTTCATCAAAATGCAGCTCCACAAACCGATTCCTGAAGGCTCTAGAAAGCACCTAGGAAACACATCAGAAAAAAAGTTTCCAAAACAGAGGCTCTGCTATTCACCAGAAAAAGAAAAACCCTTCAAAAGAAGCAAAAAAAAAAAAAATTTCAGTCTTATCAAGGAAGATTTACTACTCAATGGGGTAACAAATGGAGTAAGGGGCAAATGCTACATACCTTTCTGCCTCCATAAAGTCCTGGGGGATTTTGGGTAGCAAAAAGCATGAACCGAGGGTGAGCTTTAACAACTTCTTGTGTTTCTGTGATGAGCAATTCACGGTTATCATCCAGTAATCTGTTCAGTGCCTCTAACACATCGGTAGGGGCCAAATTTAATTCATCTAAGATAATCCAATAGCCCTTTCTCATAGCATCAATAAGAATACCTTAAAAAACAAACACTGAGAATTAGTACATAAGTTAGTCCAAGGTTTTAAAAAAAAATGTAATATACAAATCAACCAATACTAGAACATTAAATTTCAAAACAAATTACTCCCTACAGTTAGTCACGCCTCAAGATAACTTGTGACACTGAGTTATCAAGGAAGCACAATTTTTAATCAAAGTAATCCTTTTTATTTCACACAGAAGGGGAGCTAAGGCTGACAAATATCACATTTTCAACTTATTCCACCCCCCACCGCAGTCCAGTTTCATTTAAATTACCACATTCCCATATCTATTCTCAGCTTCCCCTCTGTTCAACATTCACCCCGTTCTGAGTCTCTAGAAAATGAAGTAGCAGTTCAACTGCACTCTACAAAACTTGGCAGTAGTCCTGTGTACAACTGATGAGATCAGTGGGGCTCAAAGGAAGCTAGACCCCTCACCATCATTCTTTAACCAGGGAAATCAGAGAAAAAGAAAAACCAGCTGTTACGGCAAAGGTCATGTACCTCAATTGGAAAGGATAAAGATTACCTGGGGAAATGGGTTTCAAAGAATGAATATCCACACACATGGAATGAAATAATAATCCTACCTTCTTTAAACACAAGCTTCCCTGAAGAGTCAGATGTGTAACAACCAATATACTCCTGAATATCTGTGTGTTCGTGATTGTTAATACGCACACAATGGTTACCAGTAGCTGCTGCCAGCCACCGGATCAGGCTTGTTTTACCAACTGATGTCTCTCCCTGAATCAACACTGGATAGGTTCTTCAAAACATGAAACAATAAACCAATTTAAGAAAAAAAAGAAAGAAACCAGAATTAATTCAAGTAGTTTTAAAAAAGTATACAGAATTTATCAGCATAAAAGAATATGTTTATATACCTATGCATCACTAATGAAATGTTTCTTAAGTTCTGAGAAATTTCTATATAAAAATGGTTCCTTAAAAAATACAGAGGAAAACAATCTCAACCTTTCTTGCAGTACTTATGAGAAACAGTAAATGGGACTAGCTGTTACTCACTTATATAATGGGAGACAAGTATTCATCAGCCCAATACTGGAAAGCAACTTTAAAGATGGCCAAAATAATTGGTGGGTGTTGCTCCCACCAAAGGTATAACTAGAACAATGCTTTGTGCCAGGAGAAAAGCGACACATAGCCAGCGAACAACAAATACAGCACTTGGAAAATTATGGAAGTAAGACTAGAATGTCATTAATGCCCATTCTGGTAAAGCTTCAGAGCAGCAAGAGAAAAGGTCCACATACCCTGCAGAAACCACTCGGACTATGTCTCTCAGGTTTAGCTTAACAGAAGACGTAAGAATGTAGGTCTCATCTATTGTAGGTTCACTGTCTCCCACCGAAATCCAGTATCCTTCGACTTGGATAAGACGACCTCCTTTTGGTTCTGGAATAGGCTGAAAGACACAAGTTAGAGAAATAACCCCATAGTCCAATGACAACTATGGCTTTCTTTCAGAAAGGAGTGTAAGGTAGGAAAAGAAATTATCACCAAGAATGCTGCCCTGTTCTGAATGCTTTCAGCATTAAAGCCATAGGTGAAATGTGAAAATAAATTACTCTGAGGAATGAGATCAAAACAATGACAAGTGACACATACTCGTGTTAAAATCCAGGTGGGTGGTAGGTGTGTATGAGGAAGAAACTGAATCAAATAAATTCTCAAATGATTTATGATTCAGTTCTTTTCTTTCACCTATTAAAATTCCCTATTAATTTCACCTATTAAATTTCTGATGAAGTACTTTGATCAAAAACATGTACTTCATACAAACCATGTTCCTAAAAACAGGACCAACATTGAATTGAGGGAAATGGCCTTTGCTAATATATTACATCCTCGACTTCCTGGAAGACATTAAACAAACAAACAAATAATAAAAACCACCATTTAGAGAAATTAATCTATTCAGAATAATATTGTGGGGGCACCTGGGTGGCTCAATTAAGCGTCCGACTTCAGCTCAGGTCATGATCTCACGGTCCGTGGGTTTGAGCCCCACATCTGGCTCTGTGCTGACAGCTCAGAGCCTGGAGCCTGCTTCGGATTCTGTGTCTCCCTCTCTCTCTGCCCCTCCCCTGCTCATGCTCTGTCTCTCTCTGTCTCAAAAAATAAACTAAAAACATTAAAAAAAAAATTAAAAAAAAATAATAATATTGTGGATGACAGCATAATCTTTTGAATATATGAAGTTGATTTCTACAAAACTCTCATTTTCAGGTATCAAAAATGGTGAGATCTATAACTACAAAGAAGTGCTCTCCTCAAACATTTAGTTCCCTAACTTGAAGCACCATTGCAGTTACTGCTTTTAAGGGCTCCTCTACTGAGCTCAGGAGCAGTGGGGAAAAAGAATATTTAAGCCTCCAATCACGTGTAACCATGAGGAACACACACAAAAAAAATGGTATTGAGATAATAATCAAAGCAAGCTTGAGTCTTTTTTCAATGTTTTCATGTTTTACCAAAAGTAAATATTCATGTGTTACGTGTATAATTTTTACAGTTTATTTATGTTGAGAGACAGAATGTATGTGCATGTGGGGCACCTGGCTGGCTCAGTTGGTTGGGGAGCCGACTTCGGCTCGGGTCATGATCTCACGGTCCGTGCTGACAGCTCA